TTTTTATCTATGTCTGGAAATCAGCAGAGAGAGCAGAGTATTGTTTGATAAATGTGGTTGACCATGTCATGTAGGAAGTGAACTGCCGAAACTAAACATTTGACCTCAAGATTTTTTTTTTTTGCATTTTACTGTTTTGTACATTGGGATTTAAAAATAAGTACAATTGTCAACTCAGGCCATTCTAAACCCTGGGTTTACAAAATCATGACTTGTTGCTTTTCATTCATTCATAGTTCAGTGTTCACTGTAGGAATTTATTCTGAGAATTAGGTTTCAACTCAGGTTTCACATGCTACATTTGTAAATCCTGGGTTAAAATTCTTATTTGCATATTTGCGTTGTCAATATCATTGACTGGATAAACTGTTTAAATTAAAGCTTGTCTCACTCATACGCATCAGTTGGGCTTATTTATTCCTGACTGTACCATCCGGTTTACCCTAAACAGACTTTTCGAACTTTTCACTGTAAAATTAAAATAGTCTCTTTGCTCCAGTTAACGTGTTTCCATCACTGTTTGACATTTTCCCCTCTCAACTGCTAAAACGAAATAGGGCGCCGACTGTTGGGATAACTGTACAGACCGCATGAGTAATTAATGAGGTGAGAGCTGTTTAGTTTATAATTGGTTGTTTGTTGTTTGTTTGTCGTTTCACACTGTATACATTTGGCTCTGCAATGTGGGGGTAACCATGCAAAAGATGACAACCTGGTGTTAAGATCAGTGGGGAAAAACCTATATAATCATATAGAATGTAATAACTACACTGTTGCAATATGTGTTACACAGCTTGTGCTGTAGGCTATATTGTAAATACATTTGCTGTAAATCAAAACTCCCAGCTTGGCCCAGGGGTCACAGAATGTTTATTCATGCGTTAGGGACTTTCCTGTAGGTAAGTTCGTGAAGTAGATACTGAGGCCATTAAAAGTTACTGGGGACAAAATTATCTGAAATTGCAAAAACATTGAAGATTTGGAGTTTATTTTCACTGAGAACAGAGGTTTACTAGTACAAGAGATTTTTACATGACTAATCAAATCTCAAATTGTTCCTGAGCGCCCCCCCAACACTGCACATTTTGTATGTCTCCCTTATCTGACACCCATTTCAGGTCCTGGAGTTTCTTTTAATGAGCTAATGAGTTGAATCAGGTGTGTTTGATTAGGGAGACACACAAAATGTGCAGTGCTAGGGGGCGCCCAGGACCAGGGTTGAGAAACTCTGATGTAACAAAAAGCCCCTTTTAAAAAAAAAAAAAAAAAAGCTCTTTGGACCAAGAACAAAGAGGATAACAGAAGAACAACAACAAGACTGTTTTAAATGGCATGTTTGCACTTTAACTATTTTTAATTAATAGTTCTTTGTCTAATTGTTTATACACTGCACATTTTGTATGTCTCCCTTATCTGACACCCATTTCAGGTCCTGGAGTTTCTTTTAATGAGCTAATGAGTTGAATCAGGTGTGTTTGATTAGGGAGACACACAAAATGTGCAGTGCTAGGGGGCGCCCAGGACCAGGGTTGAGAAACTCTGATGTAACAGAACAGCTGGTGGTTGAGCATTGTGATGATGGTGCTTGTTTTTAACGGTCAAAAAAAGGTCAAGCTGTTTAATGTCACTTTATGCGTCACTACTGTGTTTATTATGTAAAACCCTATACCGAGTTTATAAAACTCTCCCTCTTGTAAATAGAAAAAAAAATCCTTTTTTTTTACACGCAAGTTTCATTTTGTGGGAAGAGAAGGAAGGTCTCTTTGGAACTTGATGTTTGAGGTGCTTCCCGCAGAGATTTGCATGAATTTGTTGGTATTAGGGAAAGTCTTAACCTCTGTCTAGTCTAAATTTAAATCCACGAAATTTCTGCTGTAAATGTAAAAAGTGTTTATTGATGTACATCAAGAAAGATATGTATATATATATATATACATATATAAATAAAAATTTGTGTCTTCTGTACAAAGCAATCTTTAAACTTTAGATAGGCAATGAAGGCCTACTGATTCATGACAACACATTATTGCCATAACAGTAGTGAATACAATGAAAACATAATCTTAGCACTCAGCATCAGTTAAAAAATACAAGAAAACATACATGAAAGTGTCATTTCCTCCAGCCTGGTAAAACTACTGTAGGGCATATATAGAGACTATGCTGATGTACACTACAAAGAAGGCGCAGTCTCGTAAACCAGTAACTATTAAAATAATATTAAGAATAATAAACATTTAATTTGTGAAAGCATGACTTGGTTTTGCAAAAGTTTTTTTTTTATAACTTTATACAAAGACATTCTTACATACTGAAGGCAACCATTAGAAATTAAAATGACACTTTGGGCAAATTAAGACTAGTGTAGTTCCTGGAATACAGGAAAAAAGTACAAGCAATTAAAAAAGAATGCCTGATTAAATATCTTAAGAGATCAAGAATCATGCAGAAAAACTCCAAAGAGGATCACTCAACAATGTGCTAACTTCCTTTATCAAAGCATAGTATCATTTCAGGTTTTCCCAGAAGTCAAATGCGTAATGCCAAGTACCGCTAGTGGGAGCTTTCCCTCTGTGGTGACATACCAGCCTCTAACCAGAAGGTAAATAAAAATGAAACAAACCAATAGAGCATGACATGACTTAATGCTATTACTATTAAACATCTGTTTATCTGAATGGAGTGTCCCTGTTTTGCAAGTTCAAGTTGATTTGTTGAATACAAAAGTATCCCAAGTCTTGGAGAAAGCAGAAGACTGGAAAGCCCCAAACTGCCAGGACATGCATGCATTTCTTTAATCTAATTTGGTTATTAATTCATTATTGCAGTTGATTTCACACATGTCCAGCATCACTGCTGCTTGCAGTTCTCTTTCTGTTTTGCATTTTCCTTTTTCTCCTTGGGCTTTACTCGTTCCAGTTTGTCACTCTGTCGTTTTGTGGGGGGCACAAAAGTAGGTTCTTCCAAGGGGCTCTTCAAACCTACTTCTTGTGATGTTTGATTTTGACAGGAACCTGTAAATGAACGATTTATAATTATTATTTATTCCATTCATAAATATATTAGAAGTTGTTGTGTTATGTGAATGAATGAAAGCACCATTAATTTGTCCCGATTCAGCAGAATCCTTCCTTTGAAAGGTTGGGTCCAGCTCTTCAGCAATATTCCTGATGGCTTGCGGTTGCCTGTGGTGACACCAAAGGATGTTAAATGATATTACCTGAAAATTAAGCAGTAATTCATAGAGAAAGGAATGATTTACATTGTCACGGAAATGTGACTAGGGAGTTGATTGTCTGGGGTGAAGTCATCAAATGGGTACTGAAGACCTTCAGCATCCAGTCTGCGCCTCTGTATATCAAACAGAAATTCCAAAATAATTTTATGAATTTTGCTTTGTACTACTACAAAAAAGGCTCCTAAAGGCTGGTTCACTCTGGTCCAACAAACACAAATATGGTTTTAGAATTTGTTTGAATTTGCTGAGTCAGTGTGAATCATCCTTGAAAGATCAATATTTCCAAAGAACACGTGGCAATACTGATGAATCACATGATCAATTAATGTAAGCACAGCAAAAGTAATGTTTAAAAAGGGGTGCATTTCCCAAAAGCATTGTTAGCTAACTATGGTTGTTAGTTCCATTGAACTCTATTGGTAACGATGGAACTTGCGACTATAGTTGCTTTTGGGAAATGCACTCCAGTTCAACAGCACTAATATCATAATGAACTGTGCCAAAGAGATGCATGGACAAGGCAATTCTGCATTGGTGTCATTCAGATGGTTGGAATTTTTGGTTAGTAAGTAAGGAGTACATGGTTACGCGATAATAAAAGATAGTGTCACTCTAAACATGACTACCTGTCTGTCACATGCTGTTCTCCTGTCATTCTCCCAGTATTCTCGAACAGATTCCAGCTCAGGAGACCTCTGTTTAGCCTTAATCTCCTGTTTCTGCATGAAACGTGCAATTTCCTGCCACAAAACGACAAACTAATATTCACACCTATTCATGTGATGGGAAAGCAGCCCTCTCATTTAAGCTCTGCTTACCTCATCTTGAGCAACCTGTGCCGCTCTGAAATCTCCAATAGGACAGTCCCTTCTAAGAGGAGAGGGACCTTGTTGAGTCTATGAAAGAACAAAACAATTCTGCATATTTTTGCTTTAATTTAGGAATTTTTACTACTGTTATTGATAGGGATATTAAAAAGACTTCGCGGCAGAGCACTAATAGAGCTGGGTGGTATGATGGTACATACCAGGGGTGTCCAATCCTGCACCTGAAGGGCCACCTTCCAGCAGTGCTTAGCACTAGCCCAAATTAAACACACCTGAAGCAGTTAATCGGGAACACTAAAAACCCACAGGCAGGTGTGCTAGAACTAAACTTGGCAGGAAAATGGCCCTCCAGGAGCTGGATTGCTCGGTGTACACAATATACCAGTGATTTTCTATCACGTTTCTGGAGCTTCCCAACACTAAACATTTTGAATGTCTCCTTTGCCTGACACTTTAATTTCTTTGTCCCTACTAATGAGCTGATAACCTGAATCAAGTGTGTTTGATTAAGGAGACAGTGGCATTTACCAAAACTGCAGTAGATATATTTGATCCTGTAGCTCACCTCTTCGGCCGATCTCTCCTCCTCTTCCTGAAGCCTGCGGGCCAGCTCCTCATCCAGTAGCACTTTCTCCAGCTCTCCCAAGTCAAGAGCAGCCGTTCCACTCCTAAGAGCAGGTCCTGTCAGATAATAAGTGCAGAATCACAACCAGATAATGTGGAGAGGGGACACAGGGTTTTCAGACCACCATCACCTTCAGCCAGATGGGCCACAACCATAGGTGTCCAATCCTGCTCTCCTTGAGGGCAACTGTCCCACAGAGTATAGCTCCAAAACACTTACCTGAAAGATTCCAGTAGTCCTGAAAACCTTATTTAGTTGGTTCAGGTGTTTAATTAGGGCTGGAGCTAATTTCTGCTGCAAGGTGGCCCTTCGGGAACAGGATTGAACACTTTTGGCCAAGACAGTTGAATGTGGATTTCCATTTGATTAAACTCATTAGGAATCTTACTGGGTGGATTACAGCTATATAAACGTACCTCAAAGGACACACAAAGCAAGGGCCAAATCAAAAAGAAAATGTAAGACTAAATCAAGAAAAAACAAGAATATTTAACGCTGAGGTACTGAAAAGGAGAAAACGACCGATGCTGCTCTAGGAGAAAGAGAAGCAGATGAGATTTTGAGGTTTTTGAGAAACAAGGACGAGATCTAGTCTCACTGGAGAAGGGATCAAGCTTGAGAAAAAGCAGATGACACCAAAAAATAAATTGCCTCAACTCCCAAGATGTACACTGCAAGCACACAGAAATGGACAGGAGTTCTTGTTTACTGATTGGAAAGCAATGAGCAGATGTAGGGACAGGCTCAGCCGCACTGCAGAGCTCAGAGAGGGGTTACCTGCTCTGGAAGAGCGCCCACTGCAAGACTGGAGTCTTTGCATCCGTCTCTCCTCCCTCGTGCTCTCCCTCTCCAACTCTTCCTCTGTGCTCTCTTTCTCGAAGGTCTGCCAGCACTCACTTTGACTTCGCCTCACCCTACACTCTCTACGCCTGTGGTCTCGGTCTATCCTCCTTTCATCCTCCGTTAATGATCGAGCTCTCTGCCGTGTATTTCTGCCTCTCCCCATTTCCCAATTTCTCCTATCTCTCAAACAATCCTCCACTTCCAACTCCATTAACTGTGGCACTCTATGCTGCAGTGAGGGAGCATTATTTGAGGGTCTTGGTCTAGCCAAGTTAGAATCATCTACGCTGCATGTTCTGCTTCCCTCACGCTCAGATGTCCGCCTGACATTACCATGATAACTACGTCGCATTGAAATGTTCCGTTGAAACTCCTGAGCTTGAGTGTGGAGACCTTGAGTTTTTTCCCTAAAACTCTCTCCAGGACCACAACTGTCTCCCTGCCACATTCTGCTACGATCCTCCCTCATGCTGCTGTGGTGACTCAGCCCCATTCCTGAGACCTGCTGCTTCTGTCGCAATATTTTCTCAAGTTTATAGACTGGTTCAAAGAGATCATCCTCAGAGCTGTGGCTGAGGTAGCCTTGCTCACTCATATCGTTCTTTATGAGATTGATGACATCACCCCATCCACCTGACAGGTGTGAAGATATGTTACTGCTGCTTTGGCTGGTCATGCTTTTGTCATCCTGCTCTAAATGAGCTCTAGAAGGTCTGCCGACCAGCTTCCTCTGCCCCACAGTGGGTTTGCTGTCCTGCCATATGACTGTAGGCCTACTGTACTCAATCAGGTCCTCCTCAGAGTCCGAGTAGGTGGGCGAGGAGGAGTGCTGCCATCTTCTGGTTGGAGACTGGTTGTGAGGTACATGAACAGGCCGGGGTAAGTATGGACGAGCAGGAACGCTTGTGGACTCTTTAGTAAAGCCAACCATGCAAACATAAAGCAGGGGATTTGGGAAATGGTTAGAGATCGTGGGATGCACAGTAAAACAGTTAACATATGAAGCTTTGTTTAGATGTAAAAAGGACAAATGAACCGTTGGAATTTTTTTTTTAAATGGAGCTTCACTGAATTCAGGGCCTGGTTAGTACGCCAATAAAAGTTCAATGGGAAAGTTGGATTCAAGGGATAGTTCAACCAAAAGAAATAATAGTAGTGTCATCATTTATTCACTCTCATGTCATTCCAAATTAATTTTCATCTTTGGGTGAACTGTACTTCAACTAGACTTGTTTCGCAAAACAAAGAAGTGGAAAAGCCATCAATTTTGCAGACATGAATGAAGTCAATAAATTCAAAGGAAAACTTAAAGGGGTCATATGATGATAGAGGACCTACAATAACGTACAGTATTTGAAAAATAATGTGTTTTTTGAACATTAAAGCATGTCAACATATTCGGTTACACCAAATACACAAAATAATGATCTTTAAAAAAGCATCATATGACCCCTTTAACATCATCTCGAAGCTCTGTTTATGCCATTAAAGAAATTCAGGTTTTATTGTAAGACACAAAAGATGTTGTGTAACCATATAACTTTTCAAACACAAAACAAACGTGTGAACTGGACTTTGGAATAGTCATCATCCCAGATGATGTCATGTTTTGTGGGGCTTAAGAAGTAAATGAAGCAGCTGGCTATATGTGTCATGCTGAATGATGGATGCATTAACAATACACTGCATGTGTATTATTTCATTAGATTTAATATTCAAAATTTGCTTAAAGATGATGGACTACTCTGTAAGAAATCAGAAGACACCAAGGTTTCAACATCACCCGTGGTGTCACATTATTTTACAGCAAATCAAATGCAGGAAACAACCATCTGACTAGTCTAAGAAAACTCATGTGACAAGGCATTGAGACATAGTCATGATCATAGTCATTTATCGACATGATCTTTCGCAATTTAAGCTTTTTATAAGCAAATCAGACTCAATCCAGATGATGCTATAGGGTTCGGGTTCCTTGTCGATGCAAATGTGTCCCCCTCGACATGTAATTTAGATTTCACACTCCTAATAATCTACAAAATTTACGTCCATTATGGAAGAAACTGGAAGAATTTTACCTCTACCATCTTTATTTTGGTAACTGCTCCTGTGTCTCAAATAAAGCTCTTCCTCTTCCTGTATCCTTTTTGCTATTTCCTAAAAAACAAAAACAAAAGCTTTATAGATCATAATGTTCATTTGTGAGTGTGAGGATCTGTTGTTTTTTTTAACAAATTCTTTAATAAATATAGAAAAGCATGTAAAGTATGGCTGCAGATTGTATTTGATTATATATATATATATATATAAACCATGATTCATTTTGTGATTCCAAAAATTACAAGAACTATATGTTCATAAGAGAAATTAAACATAACTGTGGTTTATATGTTGACTGAAGTGCCTTACTGTAAATCAGATAAACATTCTGGGGGAGAATTAGCATTTAATAAACTATAAGATTTCATATTAAGCTGACTCTAAAATAAATTTTAGTACAATTATTACAAGGACAGCTCACTCTGGAGCAAAGAGACGTTAAGCACTAGGGCACAATGCTGGTTGGACTGAACGTCATGGATTATCGCTTGCAGCTTTTTAACCACTATGCCACACCACCTCCAACACAAAGAACTGCTATAACATTTATGGGACCCTTGATACAAAGCCCTCACCAAAGAAAGCTGCAGATCCATAGAGATTTCCTTTTATTTCTGGAGGAGAACATTTCCACACTCTTTTCTGCTTGTGACTCACTGAACTAGAAGACTAGAAGAGAAGTCTTTTTTTGTTTCCCTGGGGAGGTTATTTAAGGTGGGCTGGAGTTAAATGCATCAAAAAAAAAAAAAACTAATAGCATGTCAGAAAGAAATAGATTTACAGTTATTCAGTGATGACACATAGAGGTGAAACCCTCAACCCTAAGTGTAGGTTGTGTGACAAAATATATCCGCTCAGGCACTCAACAAAGCACCAGCGATAGACGCGCACGTCAACAGAAGGGAATTTCCACGCTTACGTATCAAAGACCTGCCTGCACCTACAGCAAAAAGCCCACCATGCAGAATCTTCAAAAAGCTACATACTTGGCCTGTAACAAAATGGAGGTCACAATTTATCGCACGGCTGACCACAATGACTCACAAGTTTCCTCTGACAAAGTACGGCTGAAACTAAACCAATTACAGTATGTTTACCACAGTGACCTTATCTTTAATCTTCTCACATGACTACCAACATTCTGTACCATGTAAATATTATAAAATGTGTATTAATTTGATCTGTAAAGTTACAAACTATGATTTCTGCAAAAGCATTACATGAACCCCTACAATGTTATATATACTTGTAAGATATTAGCAAAGTTACTAGAACTTGTTTACTGTTTGAAAGAATTTTAATGGTATTTCTACCTGCATTTAACTCTGTGTTATGAAATATTGTCTTTTAAAGTCTTGCAAAAACAGCCATAAATGTGACAACATACCCTGGGCTCATCCAAATACCCACAATTGCGGTCTTTGCACTTGACCACTTGTCTTCTTACATGATGTATTTCTTGTATTTGGCCCAAGTGTTTATGTGTTGTATAGTGTTGTAAAATGCAAGTGTTTACAAAGCTTTATTCTGATTCTCAATAGCCTACTTTGCATTTTAAAATGTAAAACTAAATGTCTGTTCAGTAGTCTCTATAACAGATGACACAAAGCCATATTGGAGATTTGAGAGTGTGGATTTAGTTTGCGTTAAGGGCACTGTGCTTTGGCATTTTTAAGACCTGGGACAATCTTGCTCACTTACTTCCTGTTGCGTGCAAGTTGGACAAACCCCCTGTATATGACAGAGAATTTACAGCACTTAATCAGAAGATTGCAGAGTTCTACCTTAATGATAACAGAAGTGACAAAACAGGTTCTTTTCAACAATCATAAAACTTTTGACTTGCATTGAACTATAATCTGTACTTGGATTCCAATGCTGATTATTTGGATACAATACTTCAGGAGCTGGCCTGAATATTTATGACAAGGTTCTTTAAAATTTGAAAATGGGAGAAATGAGAAAATAGGAGAAGAGTAAGTAAAGACATGGTCAAGTTGTTTAGGTCAGAGTTTTTTTTTTTTTTTAAGCAGGAGTACCTCAACGGGCCACAAGGGGGTGTTAAGGCGCCTGTGGAAAATTGAAGCGAAACTAAAAATATTTTATAACAATGTATTTTAACACTATGCTTTAGATTGGTATTTTTGGTGAAACTTGAATATGTTTTTTTTCTAATATTAGGCAGAAATAACTAATATTGTGTAGAAAAAGAAAGATATGCTGTTACCTTTGCTGTTAACTTCAAATTCAATATTTTTAATATAATGTAATATTAATAAGAAGTGTTTTGGCTTTAGCCAATGACAAATATTCCAAATTTGGAAATTTTCCATTCTAATGAACCTGTTATGGTGACCTTTCTTACTTCACAGCATTAACAGAATTAAATTCACTGTCCTGCGCTGTGAGATTTCACTGTGAGACCAGGTCCTGCCTCAAGGGGTCTGATTCTGAGCTTATCTGGCACCTGGACTCCAGATGAGGCGTGTTTGTGTACACAACAATTAGAATGACTGGGTGAGAATTATGTTCAACATTACTCTTCCCTGATCCTGTATGAGCTTGATAGGACAGCAGGCTTCAGAGCAGCGTGTGGAGATGATATTTAGATGCGAACTGCTGCCTCACAGGCTTTAATTAACACAGGGCTACAGGGGTGTAAATATAATTAATGCAGTGGAATGTCATTTTATGCAATATGCGAGGCCTATCAGTGCCAAAAATGCCACACAGGTTTGAAAACACCTTCAAAATTACTAGTAAATATTAATTAAATAATACAGAGGCTGATATTTTATCATGTCTGCTTTAAAGCTTAATTTTAAATGAACACTTTAAAACATCAATGAGCACATTTGTTGCTTCTTTAAAATCTTTAAAATATACGTGAGAAGCAAAACTGTGTAAAGTAATAACTTATTTTCAGATAATCGATATGGAATGTTTTTAAAACAATAAAGCATTACAAAGTGTATCCTAAAAATTATACTAAAATGCCAATGGGGTAAGAAAAACGTAATTCAATATATATATTCTTTAAAAATAATTGGGTATTTTATAATAAGTACATTTTGTTTTAATGATGTGTAGATATATTTACTGCAAAACAAGACTAAAATTAACATGGTTTCTGCAGTAAAGCTGGCAGGTCAAGTCATGATTCTTCCATGAGTCAAAAATACCTGCTGAAACAGATCATGTTCACTATCCGTCTCTGAATCACAAAACATCCTAAATGTCAAATATTTCTTGTTCAGAATGAGTAAAATACTGTAATTTGAAATGCCTCACAGGGATGTTGACGCAGATTTATCTGGAACCCACATCTCTGAGATCACCTGTGAATGATAATAAGTGGTCAGAATCTAATAACTTGCTTTGCCAATGTTCTCTGACTCAGTTTTTGTACTTGCTGAGCCAACAATTTCCAGCTTTGCCACCTGAAGATAAACATTCTGGGGGAGAATTAGCATTTAATAAACTATAAGATTTCATATTAAGCTGACTCTAAAATAAATTTTAGTACAATTATTACAAGGACAGCTCACTCTGGAGCAAAGAGACGTTAAGCACTAGGGCACAATGCTGGTTGGACTGAACGTCATGGATTATCGCTTGCAGCTTTTTAACCACTATGCCACACCACCTCCAACACAAAGAACTGCTATAACATTTATGGGACCCTTAATACAAAGCCCTCACCAAAGAAAGCTGCAGATCCATAGAGATTTCCTTTTATTTCTGGAGGAGAACATTTCCACACTCTTTTCTGCTTGTGACTCACTGAACTAGAAGACTAGAAGAGAAGTCTTTTTTTGTTTCCCTGGGGAGGTTATTTAAGGTGGGCTGGAGTTAAATGCATCTGAAGTTGATTAATGCACAGTATGAGTGTGATTTTTGCTTTATAGTAGCTTGATGCTCATTCCCGTGTTGTCTTTGCCAGCTCTTACACTCCACAGGAGACTACCTGAATAAATCAGCTCACTGGCGTCCCACGGTGACTCATTAATTATTGATCCATTTGATCCCGCAGACAAAGCGGTTCAGAGGTGTAAATGAAAAACAGAAGGGGTGATGTTTACTGAGCCTGGAGTGTGTTACACACCTCGTCCTCCACCTCCCTCCTCCAAGCTTCGTCCGCACTCCGCTGGATCTCCTCCTGAATCATGCGTGCATATTCAGAGTCCCGTTCCTCCCTTAAGAGAAAAAACACCTTTGATATAATGAAAACAACTAAAAACACATCTGTTTCCTTTAATGCAAGAAGGAAGTGCCGAGGCCATCATACTATAGGAGAATGGTGGACTTTGGACATGCTATCAGCTACTGAACTGCTGATAAACAGCATCCAACCATGAAAGGACAGTGTCATATATGATAGTGGTGTGATTAGTCTTTGATTGTGTGTGTGTGTGTTTGTGTGTGTGTGTGAGAGAGATCTTACAGCTGGTGAGTGGCCTGGTGCTGCAGCATCTGAGCTCTATACTCTTCCTCATCTTGGAGTCTCTTAGCTACTCTGATGTCCCTTTGCACCAGCTGACTCCTCTGCACATTTGAGTTGTAGTACTGCTCAACTGTTGGAGATAGCATGCAATTTTACAGGAAGAGCACATGGAAAATAAACTACTGTTTAAAAGTTTGGGGTCAGTAATTTTTTTTTAATGAATAAGTTTATTCAGCAAAGATGTATTAAATTGATCAAAAGTGACCGTAAAGACATTTATAAAGATTTCCATTTCAAAGAAGTTTTAAAATTTTCTATTCATTAAAGAACGTATCACGGTTCCCACAAAAATATTAAGCAGAGCAATTGTTTCCAAAATATAATAATAAATGTTTTTTTTTAGCAGCAAAGCAGTATATTAGATTTCTGAAGGATCAAGTGACACTGAAGACTGGAGTAATGATTCTGTAAATTCAGATTTGGCATCACAGGAATAAATACAATTTTAAATACATTTTAAAATACAGTTAAATTGTAAAAATATGTTACAATATTACTGTTCTTACTGCATTTTTGTTCACATAAATGCAGCCTTGGTGAACATGATAGGACATATCATGATGTACTTGATTGTTTCAGCAAATAATGTAATAAGACCTCATGTAGCCTTACTGTGACAATAAACTGCACACTTGCACAGAGAGATCATCCGATTTACATGTAAAGCAACCTCACAGTTTGTTTTGATGCCATTTAGGGGCGGGTAATAGGCTGACATGAAAAACATTAACTGAAATATTGATGCAGTGATCTCTGTGAATGGCTGTTCAGAGAACAGTCTAAAACTAAACTCACATGAGAGGTCTTGCTACCTTATGTACTGAAACGCCCTTGTATTTCCAGGTGTGTGAACACCAGCCCACTTTAGAAGTACACAAAAGGCAGCTGAATGTGTCAACGCTGAGAAAACAGATTTCAAGCTTGCATTAAAAAAGCTTTAGGTGTGGCAGATGAAATTAGAGAAATTGGACTTACTTTCCTGCTCCTGTAGGTTATGAGCTAGAGCTCCATCCTCCAGTTCAGCAAAACACTGGCACACTGCAGAGGGAAAAAAACAACACTCAGTACAACTGCAGAAAAATGAACAATTAACAGGCTGTGAGAAATGCTGCTGATCTTTTATCAGTGGTCTTTATGATTACTTCAGATTATAAAAGTATAGTATCTGTAGTATATTAACCATGACTTACATATATTCGAGGCTGTAACTGGAGACTTTTTAAGAGAAAATACTGGCAGACATTTGGACTGTGTTCAGAGACTATGATGTGTTATTTCATGTCTTCAGAAGTCACTTCAGGTCATTTTAGTAAAGTAATTCAAAGCTCATTTAAAAATGTTCATAGCACTACATTTGTGAAGTCTCATATTTCAAAACAAATTAAAAATACATATATTTGATCCCTTAAAAATTCCTAAGTCCTAAATTCTTTATATACGAAGTTTAAAAATGAGACAATCAAATTTCATAAAGCCATAATTACAGTCTGCATGACAAAAACTGACCCTGGAAAGTTAAAAACAAAATTACAGTTGTGGTTTTGGTCCCACAAGTGTCACATTTCATTTTAAACCCCATGTTAAAACAATTGACAACCCAGCAAGGCTCTCGCTGCTTTAAGGAAAATCTTAAAAGGAATCGGTTATGTGCTATTGAAAATAATTTGTCTCTCAATTTGTAAAACCAAACAAACTTTATGTAGTAATGTTTATTGGGGCAAGGCATTTCAGAGGATTTAAATCAGAAGTACGAAGATTGCAGTTTCATCTGTACTAAAGTGTTACTTATTTGAGATCTAAAATAGTCTAAATAGTCCTTTCAGTGGAAGGACTACTGTTCTAGGTGGACGAAGATCTGGTCATGCATTATTTTTGGTGCTAATCAGCAGTATTTTGATGCCGTTGTTAGAACTAAACTTTATTTAACCCAGAACATTCCTTTAACAAGAAGCAAAAACACAGGGTATCAGGTCAGTGAACTCTGAATTTAACAAATGTGACCCTGGACCACAAAACCAGTCATAAGGGTCAATTTTTTGAAATTGAGATTTATACATCTGGAAGCTGAATACATAAGCTTTCCATTGATGTATGGTTTGTTAGGATAGGATAATATTTGGCCAAGATAAAACTATTTGAAAATCTGGAATCTGAGGGTGCAAAAAAATCAAAATATTGAGAAAATCGCCTCTAAAGTTGTCCAAATGAAGTTCTTAGCAATGCATATTACTAATCAAAAATTAAGTTTTGATATATTTACAGTAGGAAATTTACAAAATATCTTCATGGAACACGATCTTTACTTAATATCCTAATGATTTTTGGCATAAAAGAAAAATCAATAATTTTGACCCATACAATGTATTTTTGGCTATTGCTACAAATATACCCAAGCGACTTAAGGCTGGTTTTGTGGTCCAGGGTCACAAATGTTCATGTGAACCCAAAAGTATAGTTCTTGAGCATCTTTCAAGCTGATATACAACCACATAAAATATATGTGTGTGTAAAAAAAAAAAAAAGGTGCTGCATATATTAAAGCGAAGTGTGGATCTTTTGGAGCACACTGCAAAAAAAGTTAAATAAATAACTCTAAATAAACACTAGTCCTTCTCAAAACTCTTGAGTTGCTGTAAATAATTGCCATGATTTGCTTGATGATATTTTAAGGAGCAATTCTGTTTCAAGTTGACATTTATTTTGTTCATTGCCATTTTCTTATCTCTAAGGAAGCCTACTGTACGCAGTGAAGCTAAAAAAGCTCAGTACAGTATTCACATTGCAGAATCCCTCAAGGGGTTACAGTAAATAACTGTTGTGGTGAATGTTGAGTAGTGTCACAGTAATTGACACAGTGTCATTGGTGTTACCAAACAAACATATACAGCTCTCATAAACACGCTCATGGCAACAAAACTTCAATAATCCCGTGGTGCCTCCCCTCAGGATATCCACAAAGTGTTCACCAAATTCAAATTTAGTAAAAAAGCAACCTCAAATTTAGATTTACAGGGCGGCTGAGTCACAAAGAGTTTCTGAGGGGAATACAGTCTGTAACTGACACAACAGCTGGAGTCTGAGGCTTTAGCGCTGGTACTGGACCTGCGGTCGGGACGGAGAACATTAGACCCTGACAGCAGTAAAAGTGAGCGCTTTAAGAGCTCTTTTCTTAAGAATTTAAGAAATTTCCAGTATAAAGTGATCAAGAGCCACCCCATCAGTGTAACTGCTGGATTAACACTCAACAGGACAGAAACTTGAAACACAAACGACTCTACTTCTGCTTTACTTCAGGATGGCCTGAGCAATCATGCTGAATTAGAGTAGCATGACCATAATATCGTAATGGAGACATTCTGACTTTAGCACAACCTCTGACCTGAGCAGCTGCTGGAAATCTATGTATAGCTGTGAGGCCCATCCATCTCGTCTGGTGGGGTGAAACTACTGACCTCCTAAAACTGGGGGCAAAGAGAAATAACCCTTCTGTGGGGTATCCCGGGGTTTAAATGCAACCGTTTCAGTATCCAAAAAGACAAATGTATTTTCTGCTTGAGCCCACCTGCTGCATATTGCGATAACCCGTATCAGGTTACACAAGCACCTCCCAACAATGCCCTCACACATCCACATCCACCCAGAGCACACATGCCTGCACACAGGGGGAATGGTTTCCAGATGTGCCAGCAGCAGAAAAAAGACACAAGCTGAGCAGAAGGATAGTGAGATTGGTGCCGTTTACTTTGGAAAGGCAGGAGGAAGGCATACAGATAAGGGCAAAACATAATGGTCAGTGTCTTTGTCCTCTTTTGAGACGTCCAGTGGCTCTGTTTTGTCCAGCAGCCAACATATTCTCTGCCTCGACAGGGCATGACAAGAACTCTAACATCATCAGAAATACACAGCAAAAAAAGAAATTGTGGACCCATACATACATACATACATACATATGCATATACATACATACTGTATATATACAAATTAAAGAAATTTCAGATAAAATATTACAGCAAGTCTTTGTTATACATTCTGTTATTTTATAAACAATTAATTAGCAATAATAATAATAATACATTTCCTTTTTTTTTTTCTTTTTTTCTTTTTCCTTTTTTTGTCCACAGAAGAAATAGTCATACAAGTTTGGATTGACATAATGACATTTTTCCTTTTTGTATAAACTATGCCTTTACACTTTTCTAGCAAATTATACACACACACACACACACACACACACCTTGGTTCATAATTGGTTACACCTTAGTTCATAATCCTTGCTAATATATATAAAAACAATGTCAGAAAAAGCATTTTGATAACTTTACAAGCCTGTTCATCAAATGTCACAACTAATCAAAGGTCTATATACTACTGTTCAAAAGTGCCAGTGAGATTTTGGGGCCAATAAACACTGAACACTGGAATAACGATGCTGAACATTCGGTTTTACCATTACAGGAATAAAAATATTAAAATAAAATAGTTATTTAAATTAAAATATTTCACAATATTACGGCTTACTGTATTTTATATAAAATAAATGTAGTCTTGAGCTGAAGAGACTTCTTTCAAAAACATTAAAGACATATTTTAAACTGTAGAGTATATGGCAATTATTCTTATATTTACCAGATTATTTAAGATCCTATTTCATTCAGCTTCTTTTGGCTCAAGCTCAATCTCTTATTTTTATCAGAAGGTTTACAAGAAATAGAGTAATGATTGGGCTATCAGTTGTAAAATCATCTGTGTCATATAATCTGTTCTCAGGAAGCATAAGACAGCAAAAGACACATGAAGCCTATATGCTAGCCAAGTACATACGCCTACAGCCAATTATTAAAAGCATCTGGTCTGATTCCTTTAGTCAAAACAATCCTGATAACACAAGGGCAACAGAATGGACTTCTGACAGTTGGATTTAGTATGTTGATTAAGTTTGGTCAGGAAAACACATTAGTCTTCTCTCCAAACACTGAGCCGTCCTTTAAACTACACCTAAACTGATAAGACTCTTGACAGCCGTATCCACCCCCATAAGAGTTCATCTTTATCTACAGCTGAGGAACTCCAGAACCCCTAACAGCAAGATATTCTAAGGCTCAAGTCTCTAAATAAGCAGTCAACAAAATAAAACCACACTCACAGATTCACACGCTGAAAGGATCATCCATTTTTATCCAGTCAAGGAGGGAGAAGCTGTATACCTGTGCTACTTTAAAATTCACTCTCAACAGTCTAAACACCTGCTAACCTGCACTCATACACTCCTCTCATTGTAGGAGGAGGGATTTGAGCCTGCAGACCCGGTTCTAGCAGCGATGTGGTTTAGTGGATCTGATCTCAGCAGCATTCAGGTGTCTGTCTGATTGGGGCGCTGAGTGGTTTGGCAGGCAAGAGGGTGTGGATATAAAGTTGTCGAACTAGTTTTGCAGAAGCCAAGACAAAAAGACTTGCTCATATTACAAAGACAGGCAAAACATATGTTTGAAAGCATTTATGCATTTAAAAATATGATACACCCGTTTTTAAAAAATAAGACAGAGCAGTCACAGCATGCAAAACAGACAGAGCCACTGAGATGAAACAAAAACAAGTGGTTGACAAACTATTGAGCTGAGAAAATAAAAAAATTTAAAAAATCAAATAAATATTTTGAAGTCTTTTGTAAATTCATGATATTGCTCAATTTAATGTGTCCTTGCTGAAGAATATTTTCTTTAAAAAAAAAAAAAAATCCCTATAAATAAAAAAAATGTTTTTTTTTTTTTTAAGAAAATATTCTTCTTCAGCAAGGACACATTAAATTGAGCAATATCATGAATTTACAAAAGACTTCAAAATATTTATTTTATTATTTTTATTTTTTATATTCTCAGCTCAATAGTCTGTCAACCACTTGTTTGACAGTGGTAGTTGTAGTGTGCCACTACCAGACATTTATAAATATCTGTCTGGGCAGAGGTTCCACGGCATAAAGAGGAAAAGGGTCAGTGAAGGCATGGAGTGAAGGATGCAAAGGGGTTAAAGTGCAGGAAAAAAGAGGCTGCTTTTTCTCAAGGGAACTGGGGTATAGAGACAGCATTCCCAAGACTACGGCAAGATAACTACCAGAGCTAAAACACATCCACAGGAACTGATAAAACCAGAGTGAAAACAAAGGGAGCTCACTAAAATATATTTCACAATGTTTTGGGGAACTAGTACGGAAAACAAACTGAGGAAATGAATACACTGTTGCTCACAGGCCAAGTTAAAAAGACATAAACCCAATGGGAAAAAACATGGCATAGTAATCCACAAAAGCATAGACATTAGTTAACTGGGTGATACAGAGAGTATGGTGGTCTAATATGGTCTTTGTTCTATAACCAGTGCTTGTTTAAGCGTAAAAATACAAATGAAAACAATGAAAGCTTTGTGTACAGAATGGGAATGGAAGGGAAATCATCATCAACATTTCCCCCTTCAAAAGAAGCATTGGGTCAAGCTCCTTTATACAGGATTTTTACCTAAGAGACAATGCTGGAGGCAAACAGAGCCATGTGGAAAGGTTCTTTCACCGATGAAAAAAAAGACAGCTATTTTGCTTCCGAGATATACAGCAGACGTCTGGAATGTTAATCAGACCTCATCTCAGACTTCTCAGCAAAAGCATGCAGCACACGAGATATATCATCAGAATGAGACATCAGAAAATCTAAGACATCAGAATGGGAATCAACAATCAAGTCCACAATGATGTGACAAATTTTGGAATCTTATGCATCATAAGAGCACAAATCTTCCAAAATGAATGGTCTGCAATGTACACACGTGTAACTATGATGCATGTCGGGCAGGTCTTACCCTCCTGGACTCTGGGCAGGTTGGACTGATCCACTTCCAGCTCTGCCATGACTTCTGGCACTGCTCAAAAACTCATACCATTCAGCAACAGCAACACCTAGCCTCATGAAAGAGAGACTCTGGTTAGAGCTAGACTGACTGGGCCAAAGTAGTTTATTTGGTCACTGTGAGTGTCCCAACAGATACACAGTTCAGCACTGGCTCATTAAATAGGATTACTTATGAGACTATAATTTACTGCAAAGACAAAGCTTTTGACAAACCACTGCTAAAATATTTGCATGTTACAACACATTTTATTAACATTTATTCATGCACTATTTATAATATTAATAAAATATTTATTATTATAATATATTTATAATATTTATAAAAAAAGAAACAAAATATCCTCTTTAGAAATCACATGTAAAACAAAAGAAATAACAGGAATAATGAGTTGTTGTATGAAAACATCTGCAAAATAATAAAAAAGAAATATTTAACTAAAAATAAAAAGTACTGGTTTAAGAAATCACCAATAAAATAAATTAAAGTAAAATTAAATAAGTAATTCCTTTAAACCACTTGCAATATAAAAAAATTAAATAAAAGCCATTTCTTAAAGAAGTCACCTGTAAATAAATGCAAACATAACCATAATAAATAGACGATTTAAAGAGTAAATGCATTACTGGTTTAAAAGTAATTTAAATTGAGACGTAAATGACAACAATAACAAAATTAAAATAATTAAATAAATAATTAAAATCGACTCCATCAGAGCATAAATTGTGTTGTGCTATAATACACAACAGAAAGCATGAACAAACACTGTGTGAAGACAAAATATACGACAAAGCAGCTAATGCAAAAGAGCCCCGAAACAAAACAAAGCGAAACTACAACCAAAAAACAAACAAACTAGCAAAAGTGAAATGAATGGGGACAGTACTGTAAATTGATCTTCACATTCCTCACAAAAAGCATCAAACACTAAAAACATGATTCACTACTACAGACACCAAACATCTTACCTGCTCTGCGCGCTTCTCTTCACTCCAAATGCTCTTTTCTATGTTCAACTACTTGTTGCATACTAGGGCTACTCGTACACTTCTCATAAGCTCATACTTGGATTTGGCAGCGTCTGAAACAAGCCTTAACTATAATTACCCAGTTTCAATGTTTCCGACTAGACAGACTGTTTTTGAAAACGAGACAATGGCATGAGCTTCCACAGGGATGGGCAGCCAGCGCGGACAAACTTCACGCTACCTCCCTCGACCAGCGCTCATTACATTACACTGGTGCATCCAATCACATCAAACATTAACCAAAATAAATACTTTATTAATGCATATAGAGGGGAAAAAACTTTGATGCCCTGGTTCACCCTTTAAATATGGCTACTTAGATCAAAAGTCTTTTATTGTTTTTAATTATCGAAATGCACAGAAAGTTGATAAACATTAGGCTACTAAAAAGTAATAGCAACTTATTATTCAGTAAATTTTCTCAACTTTATGTAAGCTGAATTTTAAAATATAATAACAAATGCAAAGTTATAAAGTGCTCCTCAGAGGTGTGGGATGATATTCTGCCCTCTTCTGGCGTTTGAGTCTTAAAATTCATGCATTGTGAAGGAAACTATAGTTCCCTTTCATGGGAACTTCGAACTGCGTCCTCTAGGGGTCGCTATGGGGAACGCCGTGTCTCGTTCCCTACTCAGGGAACCATGGTTACATAAGTAACCTGAGACGTTTTGTATTGCATTATATGTTATGTGCTATGTGAGTTCAATGTGCATGGAGTGTACTGTGAATTTATGTTTAATGTTGGGAGCAGTTCAGCCAAGCAAATACCTCATAAAATCAATCTTACATAGCCTATGAGGTTCACAGATGTAGCCAGACTGTGAGTGACGTACATCCTTTTCAAACGACTAATTTCTCACGTCTGCTCTGTCTGATTATACTCCACGCTTTGTAACTGTCAAATGTGCATCACTAATACATCTTTGGCAGTGGGTGATAAATGTCATGCTCTCCTCAGCAGACGAGTAATCTGGACTTTATATCCCTGGAGCTCTTGAGTTTCATTTTTATTACCCTCATTGACAATGTTGTTGGCATCAGTGTGGCTGCCTGAATTCCCAATAAAATATTTGTACCTATGCATCAGTTAACCAGGCTTTTCTGTGAATTTAAAGAGATATATTTTCATCCTTTCCAACGTAAAAGAACTAGATTCATGGGCTAAATAAGTCGGCTGACATAAAATAATCTCTTTATGTGTTTTGCTGTCTCAAGAGTTGATAGATGGAGATTTGCACACCTGAGACCCCCAATTGACAAATTCAGTAAAACATTGAGATTCAAAGGTGATAAAGCCACCGTGGCTTGCTATACCAGTCATCCTCATTTATTCATGGATATTAACTCAACAGGATCCACATTTTTAAATAGTATTCTCAATAAAAACACTGCATTGATTATGATTCACTCAGCTTTGGAAGAGTGGTGTATATAAGAAAAGAGAGCATTCATCCGCCTCATTCACCAAAGCCTGACCTGATAGGACCTTCAACCTGCTGCAGAGATGATCTGTAACCTGCTTCTGTCCTGCTCTGTCCTCCTGCTCTCCTGCAGTCATCTGTTAGCACATCCTGTTACAGACACAGCTGACATGACTTTCAGCGGCCCTGGTGAGTGCATTCAGACATAATGTTTCAGATGTTATTTTTAATTTAATTTAATTTAATTTAATTTAATTTAATTTAATTTAATTTAATTTATATATTGGATATTTTTCTCCCCTGACAAAGTTTGTTGATTTATTTATATATATTGGATATTTTTTTCTATATTTTTTTTCTTCCTATGAATGGATTTATTGAATAATGTAATGGTTAAGTGCATTTAGCATTGTTTTTGTCCAAGGAGACAATCTTAGAACATCTATCTCTTGTGTGTGTGTGTGTGTGTGTGTAGTTAAGCACTGATACAACACACATTTTCATCGACAACTGCCTTAAATGAGTACACAGGGTGCAAAAATCTAACATTACTTTTTTAATGCTGGGGCCAAATAGCAATATTGGTAAATTTGCTGTAGCTGATGAAATAACTGCTGTGATTGCTGCTTTAGATTCAGTGGAAGAGGCAGGAGGGGTCAGTCCAGATGATTTCTCTGTCTCTGATCTCAATGATCTCCTGCAGAGGGTGGCAGTCGCAGGATATTCCCCAATGCTCAGCCAAGAGAGTGAGACTCATTTATCTGACACAGACATTTAATCTCAAAAGTTACAACGGTCCCATCTTTCAGTGTTACTGAAAGTTCTTCTGTAGACGATAAAAGAAATCACTCTTTTGTACCTTGAATCAAGAGATCAAGATGGCGCCGCAAATGGCAGCCAGGACGCTGAGCTCCGCGATTCTTCTATTGTTTTTGTTTGTTTGTTCTGTGTTTTGTCATTCTTCTTCTATAAGTTTTACCAGAGACGAACTCCTTAACATTAAGCAGCACATCCCAGACAATATTTTTCCGGTTTTTGATTATTCGGACGTTTTGTTGGACATTCTAGTCGGAGGTACGGCTGTGTTGTTCAAACGCTTGTGCAGACGCAGAAGAGGGAAACGCGCCGGCGCCCTGGTGAAGCTCCACGCGCGCGGCTTTCGGACTGCGCTCCCAAGCATTCATCTCGCGAATATCCGTTCCCTTCCTAACAAAACGGATGAACTTCTCCTCCTCACCCACACCAACGAGGACTTTTCTAACTCTGCTGCACTGTGCTTCACTGAAACCTGGCTGAGTGAAGCCATTCCGGACAACGCACGTCATCTGCCGGGCTACCAGCTGTTCAGAGCGGATCGCATCGCGGAGTTAACGGGGAAAACCAGAGGTGGTGGATTGTGTTTCTACATCAACGAAAGTTGGTGTTCAGATGTAACAACGCTGTTGCAAAAAAGGCCCAGCAGAGGTTGTACTTCCTTCGCCAGCTGAGGAAATTCAACCTGCCACAGGAGCTGCTGAAACAGTTCTACTCTGCTATCATTGAGTCTGTCCTGTGTTCATCCATAACTGTCTGGTTTGGTTCAGCTACCAAATCAGACATCAAGAGACTACAACGGACAGTCAGGACTGCTGAGAGGATTATTGGTGCCCCTCTGCCCAGCCTCCAAGATCTTTACATCTCCAGAGTGAGGAAAAGGGCTAAAAAAATCACCTTGGACCCCTCACACCCAGCCCACTCTCTCTTCGAACTGTTGCCTTCTGGTCGGCGCTACAGAGCACTGACCACCAGAACAGCCAGGCACAAGAACAGTTTTTTCCCACAGGCTATATTCAGTCTGAACAATTAATCTTTCATAATTATACATCGTCCATCACAACTAACATAGTTATACTTATATTAAACTGCACACTTTGTAAATAACATATCTGCACACTAATAAACATATATGTACATTTATCTAAATAATTACATTTTTTCCTATACTTCTATTTCTGTATATAGTACATTATTCAATTTTTCTTTTTTATTATATTAGTGTTATATTACATCCCTACTGTGTTATTCCTATGTATGTCTGCACTATCATGTATGTCTGCACTATGTTTGTACTTTCTTCTACACTGGACGCTCCTGTCATCAAGTCAAATTCCTTGTGTGTGTAAACATACTTGGTAATAAAGCTCTTCTGATTCTGATTCTGAATGCTCATACTGTTCTTTTCACAGATAACAAAGTGCCTGGGCAGATTCCTAAACAAGCTCTTAGAGAGGTAAACAAAATAACAATCTCTAAGCATGTAAATAATGCTGTGTTCACGTGTATTATCTAGCTATATTACATTTTCATTGCAAATATGTGAGCAACAGCCTCTGTTTCTCTTTTAAGTTACTGTTAGAAAAACCGTATCGCCTCATTCCTCCCAGAGGTCTGTGGGGCAGCAGGAGACAGTTCAGGAAGAGAGGTGGCGGTGCGGATTGCTTCTGGAAATACTGTGTTTGAGGCCATAGGGCTTTTATAGCTTTTCCTACCAGTATGGACTCTCTCTCTCTCTCTCTCTCTCTCTCTCTCTCTCTCTCTCGTGCGCATGCATGGGCGTTTGTGGAGCATGTGTGAGAGCTTAGTGAGTGTGAGCGCGTGTATTTGCTTTTGTCGTGTGTTTCCTTACTTTTTTCTTTCTTTTTTTTCTTTCTAAGTTTTTTTATTTGATTTAGTATTTATTTTGTGTGTGTTTTGTTAGTGCTGCCTGCTTTCTTAGAAAGCATGGCAGCTCAGGGTGGGAATGGGCTTGATTTCCTCACACGGCGTCACGGAGTTAAGATAGTATCCGTGGTGAGTGTGGAGGCTTGCTGTCTGGGTGTAGGAGAAGTTGTTGGCCATCAAAATATTCTCTCTGCATCCAGAATGAATAACACGACCGTGATTTTTTTGAATACGGTGGAAAGAGCAAACGAGGTGGTTGCGCGAGGAATAATCATCGATGAAATGCTTACACCTGTTTTGCCTCTGATATTACCATAAAAGAAAGTCACAATATCGAATATCCCTCCTTTTCTTAGTGATGATATTTTGATACAAGCGCTTTCACGTTATGGAAAGTTGCTTTCGCCGTTCAAAAAGATTGCGATCGGGTGCGAGTCTCCTTTATTGAAACATATCGTTTCATTTAGGAGATTCGCTTTCATGATAATTAAAGACGACGCTGAACTGGACTTGGCACTAAATTTCCGTGTGGATGATTTCGAATATGTAGTGTTTGTGACTACTGACAAAATGAAATGTTTCGGATGCAATAAATCAGGCCACTTAATCCGTTCATGCCCTGACAAGAGTAACGCAGCTGGAGGTAGTAAGGACAGTGCTGCAAATGAGGAAGATAGGCCTACTGTAAAACCGTCTGAGGTCGGTCCGGCCGAAGCAGTGCCGACCGCGGATAAACTTGCTGGGGAAGGAACATCTGTCGTGGGGCCTGTGGAAGCTGGATCGACCTCAACGGAATCAACGAGTGAAGGTAGGGATACTCCAGAAACTTCTCTAAATGCAGAAACTGGATTGTTGAACAGTGATGTAGAAAATGTGAGGGAAGAAGATGTGTCTGAGGTAGAAGCAGAGAACAAGATGTTCAAAGTACCGACAAAAAGGAAAAATGTGGAAAAGATCAGTAGTGCAAAGTGTTTTAAGAAAGGAGAAGTGTTTGAAGAACAGAAAGAGTCAGAAAGTGAAATGTCTGATTCAAGTATAGTGTTGTCGCAGACTGAAGGTATGAGCAGAAGTTATGATGTTGATGACATAAAACGTTTTCTTAGTATCACAAAAAACAAGAGAGGTGTGGTTGTAAAGGAATATTTCCCTGATGATGCACAATGGGGAGCCTAGTTAATTTGTCTGGACCAGTTTTTGAGAATGTGGAAAGAGTTGCTACGAGTCTGAAGATTAAGTCAAGACGATTTGTTTTTCATTTATTAGAAAAATGGAAAAAAACACTCACTTCTGATGAACTGAAACGTTTATTGGACCACTGTGAAAGCAAAAATGTGCCTAATGAAAGTGATGTTTTATCTGATTTTGTTCTTTTACCTGTTTTAGATGATGTTTCAGGAATGTTTCTAAGCCCTGGAAAATCCTTATGTCTTAAGTTTTTTTCAAGTACTGGTAAATCTTTTTATAAAGCTTGTGTTCTTGTTTTTAACAAAAAATCACTTGATAAAAGGGTTGACACACCATGGCGTGATGTTTTAAAACTGGATGATGATGTAAAACCAGAATGGAGGTCATTGTATAAGCCACCTTTAAGCAAAAGAGTTGGGGACATACAGTGGAGACTTTTACATGGTGTGTTAGCAGTTAATGCTTTTATTTCAGTTTTAAATTCTGATGTTACTGCAGAGTGCCCTTTTTGTTTTAAGAGAGAAACTGTTTTTCATGCGTATATGGATTGTTTTAGACTAGAAAGGATGTTTGGGTTATTACATAATTTATTTGATAGTTTTAATGAATCTTTTTCTATAAACGTATTTATTGCTGGTTTTAGATATGTTAGAAGAAAGAGGTTTATTTGTCAGTGTTTAAATTTTTATAGGTCAAGCAAAATTAGCAATCTATATGAGTAGGAAAAACAAGATAGAACTGGGTGTAGATCAAGATACTAATACTCTGTTTTTAGCCACCGTAAAATCCAGAATACTTGTTGATTTTCATTTTTATACATCCATGGATGACATCTCGTTTATGTATTTTCCGTTGGAGTCGATGAGAATAAGAGCTTCTGTTTGGGTGGGGTTGTATGGAGCAGTGCAGTGGGCTTTGGTCTGTGGATCTGACGAAGAGCGAGGCTCATCCGCTGCAGGTGATTGCTGATTGTCAGTGGGGGTCTCTAGACAGGTCAGGTGTTTAGCGTGAGATGCTTTGGATGATGAAACGTGAAGAAGTTGTTCCTTCATATTATTTATAAGTTCATCCTTCTTTCGAAGTTCTGATTTCAACACAGACAGTTCTTCCTGCATTTCTGTTTTAATTTCTGTTATCTGTCTTCTGAAAGTTGATTTGAATTCCTTCAGCTCTTCTCTAGCTTGGTGAAGCTCCTTTGACATCTGTTCTTTGTTTCTCTGCAGGTATTCAGTCTCTTGTTTTAAATTCATCATGTCCTTTTTAAGCTGCTCTCTCTCTCTCGCACGCACGCACACACATTGCAGAAGCAAAAATATACAGGACAGAGTTATAAAAATATGCGCAAAACAGTTGCTTCACAGAGAGATTGATATTAACCAATAACGTAAAATATCTGGGACTTTTTTCTACATATCTTCAGCTTTTATGTGTCTGTAAATTTTTAATGACATATATTTCTGGAATATTTTGGATTTAGTGCCAATACTATCTTTATAGAAGAGACCACATAGCTGTACTGTATAAGACCTATAAATAACAGCAAAAATAAAATAACCAAAAAAATAATAAAAAGCCTCCATTCTTTGTCCATAATGTTGTTTAATTTCCCCTTCGAAACACATTTGTATATTTTGTAACTCCTTTTATTTATTGTCTTACAATGAGTTCTTCATGCGGATGAGATTTGTGTGTAAACCTAGTAGATTTGGATTTATCGATTCAAGCATTTTTGAGACAGATGAATCAAACAATGACTATTCTTCAACCTTGGAGGCTGGACATCCACTTTTCTGGAGAAGACAAACGGTATCTAGGTGCATCTACGGACTTACTGAACACACACACACACACACACACACGAAAAATACAAGCCAAAGTTAAGCTATGATATGTGTTAAACACCACTTGTCACTTTTACTCTATTTATATAAAATATAAAGAATATATATTAAAAAATAAACACGTTTTTGGTCATGTAAAGGGCACTAAGTACAGTCTTACAAATAAAGGCATCTATGGTGCCATTAAGAACCTTTAACATCCATGGAATCTTTCCATTGTATAAAAGGTTCTTTATAGTGGAAAATTGTTCCAAAATATTCTGTAGTGTACACTAAGAAAAAATGGTTCTTTTAAGAATTGATAACTTAAAATGTTTTTGGGAAGACTTAATGGCCTGCTGTTTTAAAAAGATCAGCATGTTAATGGTTATTTACCTGCTGTGGACTCTTGAGGGTAAGGCTCTATGAATTGCTACTCCAAGACGTGGCAGGTCTCTCTTCTCCAGATCCTCAGTATTAGGCCACAGAACCTCAGGAGAGTCCATCAGCTCTGTGTCCTGTTCCTCCTGCTCATTGACTGGAGTCATCGCTGTCAGGAGCTCTATCATCTAACAGCACGTATACACACACAAATGCACGCACGCACACACACACACACACACACACACACACACACGCGCGCACATACAATAAAAGTAGTTCAACATTCCTTAAACAAAAACTGATGAGCAATTTCTCATTTTTATGACTATATGACACTACCTGAGAAATCAATATAAGTTGCTTCACCTCTCTGACAGTGTGAGCAGCAGTGTGTACAGGCTGACTGTCACCCCACAAAACACACAGCAGCAACAGACTGACAGACACGCTGAACGTGCCCTTCATTATATCTGTAAAACTGAACACAATCATAATGATGCACTAATAAATGAGGTCTCAAAAAATTTAATAATTTCATAAATACATAAATTACACAATAAAAGAAAATAGCCAATAAATTATCTTTTAGGCATTAAACAAATATATAATAATTGTTAAATAGAATAAATAATATGTAAATAAATAGTATACATTTTAATAGTAGAACGTGACTTACAATAAT